GTGGGATCAACAGTGGATTCCACAGAGTGTTTCTCATCCTCATCCTCATCCTCATCCTCATCCTCATCCTCATCCTCATCTTCATCCTCAGAAAAATCATAAGACGCTACATCATTATTATTAGTCATAATCATAATAATAATCAACATCACCACCAACTGAATTACTAAATGTTTTTATTATTGGCTCCTTCTTCCATCATATTATCATCATCTTAATCTCCAAATTAAAACCATCATCACCAGATCAACACCATCATCACTACCATCACCATCACCATTATCATGTTTCCATCAATCGCATACTTACACAGCCGATCGATTCTCTTTCTCCAGATCCTATCTGCTTTTTTATCTCCTGAAACTGAGCAGAATGTTTGTTCTTTTAAAGTGATAGTTGTTTTGGAATTCGATAATAATGTTTAGTTGTAAGTAAGAACAGGGAGCTTGTTGCAAATGAACAAAAGCAATACAAAAAAGACAATAAGGACATCGATCTCATAGCCAAATTCACAGCTAACCAAAATGAACGATATTTACAGTATGAGAAATGGTCGATTATTCAGTATTAAAGTGTGTTTGGCAAAAGAAAAAAATGGAAAAGATTTGAACTTGTCCTAATAAGGCTTGTTCTCGCCATTGCAATTATTCTCAAATCTTCCTTGAAATAATTTTAGGGATAAAATATGAAATACAATTCTTGAGAATTTAGGACAAAAACAATATTTTTGAAATACTGACGTTGGCCAAACTTGGGAAAATAAATCTTGGTCACTTATAATAAAGACATGTCATACTAAGCCAGAGAAGGTTTAAACCTGTCCTATCTTGTTCTCGCCATCCACGTGCAATTTAGTTTCAAAACTTTCTCAAATGTGTGGATTCCAAGGGGCTGCAAAACTCACTATTGTCCCGTGGGTATAAAGACTAAAAAGGCGTTGCAATTTTGGGCCACAGAAAACACAAGAATGCATCTTAATCTAAAAGGATATTACCCTATAGAATCATTAACAACTTTATGGATTTGCTGTCAAAGTCTTACCCCTATCAAGTTTTTTCGCCAGTCGTTTGTATTTGTACAACCGGCATACTTTGAGTTTCTTCTCGAAGACCACGTATGACAAGGCAGCTTTAGCAAGACCCAGGAAGGCTGAACTGGAAAACTGGTTTAGGTATTTGTTGGCACAAATTGCAAGTTTCTGCAAACAAAGAGTGATTGAAAAAATAATTGTTATAGAAGAATTACGCCAACTAACATATCATACTCAAAGCTCCTTCCTATCCTCGGTCCCTGCCTGAAACTTTAGAGAGTTCGCCAGTTTAGGGGAAGGGTCGGAGCCCAACCAACCAAAAAAGCCTAATCTTATTAAAATTTTCTTATTTTTGTTCATCGCGTGCATCCGCAAGATGCGGAAAAATCCGTGCAACGCCGGTATCCCATGCTCAAGACACCTTTTAAAACTTTGATTTTTAGAAGTGAATTTGTTTTCCACTTACCTTATCCAGAAGACAGTGAAGCTTCAAATCATCCAGTTTTTGGTATTTTGGATCAGCAAATCCTGAAGCATATTGCACGACACATTCCTTTAACGCCTTGTCCTCGCATGATTGAACTGCATTACATCTTCGTGAACCCAGTGCAAGGACAGCCACGAGACAGATACCAATGGTATATACACGATCCATCTTCTTGATTCTGAGTACATCAACAACTTGAGCTTAAAATGTGAACCCTTACAAACACACTTATATTTAGGCCGTCCAAAGAATGTCCCTTTCAACAGGCTCACTCTCTCTCGCAAGAAGACTGTCCCTTACGAGTAGGGCCGAGTCAAGCCGCTGCGGAAAATTAAATATCTAACAAAATTTCTTGGAATTTGACAAAAAGAAATTAGAAAAGCAGGGCCTCGCGCTTGGTTCACGCAGAATGAACAAATTCTCTCCTTGTAAGAAGCCCCATCGTTAAAAACACCGGTCCTTTCTTTCGTCATAACTTAAAGTCAGTTTACCAAGGTTGTTTCGTAATTATGGTTTTTTTTTTCGTCTTTAAACTGCATTTAAATTCTAAACTTTCGGATCCCAATTTAGGATATTTTTTTCAGTAAGTTATAAAAACACTTTTCTTCAATTTTGAAAGCCTTTTAATTTTTTTTCCATTTTCTGCTGCTTTTTTTCATTCAACATTGTTAGAACTTTTTCGATTCTTGACCAATGGACACATCTGTTTTTATCACTAATCAATTCAGGTTTTTTTTCTAAATGATTTAACGTAATCATGGTTATGACAACGAACATTCTGCGCGAAAATTTAAACATATGATATACGACTGGTTTAATAAAACTAGAATCAACTTACCTTCTATTAGATATCAGCTGGATCTTGGGTGTATACGAGAACAAGAAGAAGTGAAAATAGTGTGATTCAAGTTATCTTAAACCTAAGTGCTGGTCCAGCCTTTGTGATTTCTTTTTATTTACTTAGAGTGAGAAATTTGCAGGTGTATGATGATAGCAAGTTAAATACTTGATAAAATCCAAATCATAGATCCATTATTTCATGTATTTCCTTAAACATTCAAATTGAGAGACCTTAAAATAACAAATTGCACCACCAAAATCAACACAGGAAGTCTTTCTTAGGTCGCAAAGGTTGTACTATTTACCCTGGATTGTTCTCGAACAGATTTAAACGGATGATAATTCGAAAGAATAAACGTCTTCAGCTATTTTCAGATCAGTTAAGAGAGAATATTTCTATTATAAATTCTTTATAAACTATTTAAAATTATTTGTTACTGTACCTTTAGATTCTTACGAAGGCATGCAGAAAATGACGTGTTTATCTTTTCTTTTTTATATCACCAAATAAATTTTTGTACGAATTTTATACGAAGAAAGAAGACCAGCTTCAATCGACTCTGACATATGTAATCATCCACCTTGTTGGTTATTGAATGCTGAAGATACGGAAGAGCGTTGTCATTATTAATACAAACTTGTTCGATCTAACAAACTTGACAATACTTGCACGAATAGGTTATAAGAACATAGTAGGACAGGTTAAACTTTTCATTCAATTTTAACAATGGATTTGTTTGAAATGGCACTTCCAAGAATATCAACAAAATTTGAAAGCATTAATAAGACGACAACAAATACTTTTTGTGGGTCCAGTCTCTGATCATTCTAGAAACTTTCTAGGAATTGTACCGAAGAGCGGCTTTGGCAAGATCTTAGTACTTCCGCCATTTTGTTTGTGGACCATCAAGTTTATTGGTTGCGGATATTAATAAAATATCACTCAGTACCAATAACTTGGTATTGGCAAATGCAACTAAAATACTGGCTATGACATGTATATATATATATATACGTACACACATATATATATTACTTTGGGATACGGGATGTCGTTGCCCAGTCTTCTTAGCCAGAGGCTAATGCTTTTTTACGACAAGCTCCTATCACTACCATTAATTAAAATACAAAAACTCATTAAAAACGAAGAAAGGTTCTTAAACTATGTACACACCGTCTTAAAACACCGTCTTTTGAGTCATTATAAACTACCGCAAATAAAATCGTTACCGAGTCTCCATTAGCCAGGGGCTAATGTTTAAGGAATACGACACCTCCACACACCACTACACCACGTGATGTTTCGTGCTCGCAACTCTCAACTCACACGTTCATTTTTACTAAAAGGACAGACATTCTGAATCGTACTAAAGTACGTAAAAAATCGTATTGAGAGAAATATAATGTACATCCACCCAACCAATAATATACAGGCCTGCCGGTTAAACTCGCCTCGGCTGAACTGGACCGCCTGTTTAAAAATTGCAATGAAATAAAAAAAAGAAATAGTAAGCTAGTTCCAGATTGGTGGCGTAATTCCCATGAGAAAAAAAGGACAAAAGACATCAATGGCTGATTGACATGTAAGACCAAGTTTTTTGTCAAAGTCAACCAAAATGGCAGCTATGACGTCACATTCACTCCAACAACACAAAAGTAAAACATATAGAATCGCTATAACATTGATTTATACTGGCACTGATAAGTTTAGAAATACTCTACAATTATGGAAAATAAGATGGGATCATTATATGTAAGATTTCATCAAGGAATGCGTGTGTTTCGTTTGGGTTTCGTGGCCAAACACGAGACTGAAAGCATTTGGAAGCAAGAATAAGTTTTTAGTCATTCTCGTCTACCCAAATCCTTCTCAGCTTTCCAACATACCCATTAGCCAACCTCTGATTTTCGATATGAGTATGATAAAAGCATTTTGAACCATTTAGTTTAGTTTATATTTTATGTTTTATAGTTTTTATTTAATATTTCGTCAATAGAAAATAACGGAGACTTTAACACAGGGCAAAGCCCCAATTGCTGTTCAGCCCCATTTAACTCAACAATGATATTGCTTTAAAAAAGAAAGAATGTGTGACTCAGTACTCAAAACTTGACATCAAATGACGTTAAGGTTTTAAAAACGAGTGAGAGTGTTTCATATAAGGTTTCCATGCCCCAAAAAAGCAAAAACCATTCTCGTACCCAGACCCTTCCGGGGAAAAATCCAAAAAATCGTCATTTTCTGGATTGTTATGTTCTGTCATTAGCTTTGGACTACTTCTAGTTTTATTTATTTCTATCCTTAGCTTAGTATTATTACTGAGTTAAGAGTTTTTAATTCTGTATGTTATTCAAAACGTTGTGCTTATTATTCATGGATTTATGATTCGCTTACATTCGTTATTGCACTATCACAGTAGAATCATTTCATACATATGTGTCATTTTTATTTTTATTTACGTTTTTTAAAAAGTTGTGTATAGTTTATGATTCACTTAAATGTCGTAAATGCAAATCACTTACATACATTTTGCAATGACAATTACATTTATTTTTTCATTTCTTGTTATGTGTTTGTATTTCGTATCTTTTTTTCCCAGTATCAATTATAAAATTATTCACAAATTATTTGAAAAGTTCTCATCATATCTCGGCGTAAAACTTTTAAAAACTTTAATTTTAGTTCATATCATTTTTATTATCGTATTCAATACATTTTGCTGCTTTTGCCGGTACGTCTGAGGTTCAAGTCGTAGCTAGTCACGTGGTGTGGGTAAAATTACGTCACGTCTTTTTTATTTACTTTACGAGAGGTGTACTTATCACGTGACATGTCCAAGGCGTTGCTGCAGATATTTTGGTGAATGGATAGGAATAACGGTAGGTACGCCATGTAATCCAAGAAAGATATCTGTGCATACAATAAAGCAATTAATGCGCTTAAGATTGAAAAAAAGACACATGGATTTGTGGACTATACAACTTAAACGAAGAATATTATTCTTGAAGAGAATGACCAAGGGCGGATCCAGGGGGAAGGGGGCTGAAGCCCCACCCTTCAGCAGAAAAAAAAACAAAACGAAACTGAAGAATTATATGCTTTTTTAATTGTTTTCCGTTGTGTTGACGGAAGAAACTCAATTAAACCCCTCCCCCCCCCCCCCCCCCCCCCCCATAGCCCTCCCTAAAATTTTGGCTGGATCCACCCTTGATGACACGTGGTCTCAAATGGGAAAACATTACACCCAAGGTAAAGAAAAATAGAAAGGAAACCGTTTAAATGACATGAAAATGTTAGCAAAGTTATTTCCATAATATAGCCGCCATGTTTCAACAAACAATAGTGGGTTTTCCTTTTAAAGTCTTCAACATGGCGGCGGCCTTGTTTTTTGTTTCATTCTCATGTGAACAATCGCATTCCACCTACGTATTTCTCTGGGTGATTAAAAAAGTTTGCTTAAGAAAATAATACTAAGTCCTAACTTACCTGACCATTTTCCGATGATTGGGTAATATGTTTTATCACGTGATCTTCTTGGTTTTGGTTCAGTCCTCCTGCCTTCAGCTCGATGCGTAAATCCGCGGGTGAAATGAACGATAAAGACCGATTACCCGCTACGTAAAACATGTTCTGAAAATCGAATTTAACAAAATTTCAAAAAATGGGCCGCCATTACATATAACTTTGCATCATCACGTGATGGCAACCATGACAGGAGGCACAACTAGTCTTTTTTTCCCCTAAAAACCAAATACTTTTTCATGTGAATCAGATTAGATCAGATCCGATTGTTCCTGCCTCCTGTCATGGCTGCCATTACGTGATGGTGCAAAGCCCGCTATAGCATGACTCTTTCAGCTGACTAAAAGCAAGTGGCGGATCCAGTATGCAGAATAATTTCAAGGGGGGTGACTGTTGCCTAGGAAGGCGTCCTTTTTACATTCTACCTTAATATAATTCATTATTTTTCCTTTTTTTTCATATTCGAAGGGGGGTAACTAGTCACCAATTCACCCCCTCTCACTGTTTGCCCGAACATCACTGTAGGTTGATAATGAGATTCATTCTACTCCCTGATGTGATCGTATCGATGCCAAGAAATTTGATATCGACCTATTTGCTAGAGACACTCAAAAAGGTTTTCAATTCCTTGCTTCATTATCACAAGTAGTAGTGATTAGAATTATCCTGAAACCTTGTAAATAATTAATTCATCAATATATTACCAACACGATGCTTTGTGGATGAATACAGTTAATACTACTTGTACCTTGGAAAAGCAGCGTTTTTCTGCCTTCAGCGAGAAAATGTTGGAAATGATAAAATTCAATTTGGTACTTACCTTATACATATCTAGTTTCCATTCGGTTTGCGATAGATCAAGACCTTCTACCAAATCCTTCACAAACAGACTGGAATAAACCGTTAAAAAAATTATTTATGACTGAAGTAATTATGTGATAATAAGACACGAAACTTATGTACAGTAAAAAATATTTACAAGACACTAAGTAATACTTAAACTTTCTTTGCGTATAATGAGTGCCCAAGCTTTGCGAAACTATCTTGGCGAGAAATAAATGTGTCAGCAGTTATAATGTCGTATTTTTACTTTATTTGAGATTTAGTCCGGCCCGCAGGCCGGTGCTGCACAAGAGGACACAGGGTCCCCCTTAGAGGTAAATTGCACAAACTTTATAACCATTCTACAGCCAACCCATTAACCATGAAATCATTAGTTTAAAGGCCAGACAATGAATTTGGTCACAGCCAGGGCTTCTTCAGTGGGTTTTTACGTCCCTCCGTTTCAGGGGGACGTAGTGTGGAGAGAAAGGATCGCCATTTTCAGTAACTAAGGCAACGAAAGTCTACTATAAACCAAGACTATATGAGGATAGTGAGTAAGTACTAACGCTAACAGCCCCCTCCCACCCTACCCCCCTCCGTACTTACTCTAGGGATGTCACTCTTTCGCACAATGCATTGATAACAGCAAACATCTTGAAGGACACTCGTGAGAAGGTATTGATCTCAAGCACCTGAGGATGACACACAACCAAAAAATACAGTCAAGAAAATGCATCCAAACAAAAATGCTGGAGGCCATTAATTTATAGATTTTATTGAAGGATTAGGATTTAAAAAGTCCAATAAACTTCAAAAACCTTCAAGGATAAAAACCTTTATATTTGAACCCTCGAATCAAGGGAGAGACCATTAGTCTTGCCAACACTTGGAATCGAAAAATATGAATCAGGTACGGATTTCATCACAAGGATTCTTGCTCGTCTTAATCATGCTAATCACATAAAGCTATATAAGTATCCTAAATCGTGGTATAGCAACAATAAAAGAAAATAAAAAACTAAAAATAGAGTAGGGAGCAATAATAGAAACGTTTACTACAGAGATAAAAATACGATGTCACTCTTATTTTCGAGTTAAAAAACCTTAATGATGTTACTCAAAGATATTCATTTTTTTCCCCGATTGTAAAAATTAAAACTGTACTATGAATAATTTCATTTGTTCCTTAGCAACGACAAAATCCTTATAAACAGCGATGAGCCTGTTTTTTCCCTTAATATATCAAAAACGTTTTAAAGGCGTTTTTTATAAAACCCAAATACATTCTTACAAAAACACGTATTTTTGAGAGCAAATTTTTTACCTGAAATTTTTTTCAAGTCCTATTTGAATGAAAATAGATTTTGCTATTGATAACCATGTTATCTTAATCCTTAGCCAAACATAACACAGAATTATGCTAAATATTCAGTTAGGTTTCAAACTTGACTGACAAGAGTGAAGTCCAACCAAGGTGCATCGGAACAAACAAACAGGGAAAACCATGTTCTGTTTCTTTTCTTAGATCACAAATTTCATCCAAAAAAATGATATAAAATGATTTTTTATTATTATCGCAATTTATATGAATGTCAGTATTAAATGGCATGAAATTGGGAGTGGGATTCCAAGTTCTCTGAGAGAAAAGATTGACTTTTCTATTTGTTTACTTCAAGGTAGCGAATATGAATACAAAACAGCCTCCAGTTTAATAAGACACCAAGACTAGTAGCATTTTACAAACAGCGAATATACATTTAACATGTATTCCAAGTTCCGTCTGTCGTAGTTTTGATTAATACAGAAAATAGCCTATTTTACCTGTAAATCTCAAAGCCTATACGAGTGTTTGAAATCGGATATCGGAGGCAAATGTTATAATTTCCAACTGTCTGTTTGTTTAGGATAAAATTGGATGAATGATTAACAGAGAGGTTTGAGGACAATTCTACTGAGTTGCCGACGAATTCGATAATAAGCAAGTGTACGAGTTCTTGCAGCTTGTGTTTTTTTGTGGTTGCTTTTCGGGCCGCTTTTTCATGGTGTGTAAATATTTCTCTTTGATAGCTTATTCATAAATCAATTCTGAGCTCTTGGTCTTGCCAACTCATTCAACAAGATAACAATCATACGAAGAGAAACAGATTGTACTTTGAAGCACAAATTCTACAGTTGTCGATTGAATATTGTTCTCAATGGATGACATTAGCAAGACAAGTTTCTCAGTGGATGGAAAGAGCTCCCACAAACTAAAAATCCACCAGGTTGAAACAAAGGCCAGTTCGTGGGATAAGTATAAAAGACAAAATGGATGTGTTAAGGTTACAGATCCTTATTATGGTAAACGAAAACAATCGAATACATTACGAAGAATTCAAAGAAAAATCCAGTTGATGGAAAGCAGAATGGGTCCAAATGAGCAAGAAAAATCTTCTCATAGGAACGACAAACAAGCAAGTCAAACATTGAGAATTGAAACTTTATCTACTAAAGGTAATAGATGGAAACAGAATGTAACTATTTCTGAAGGAATAAAGGGAGTAAGTCCAACACAAAAAGCTCCAGTTATTAAGATTTCTGATGCAAGTGACGACCACTTAGGAACACAGAACGAAGAAAATTACACATGGATGACCAAAGATGAACTTTTGGAAATATTTTTTCGTTGTTTATGAAGAAGGAGACCAGCAAGTCTAAAACAAATACAGCTGAGTTCTGTTAAGAAAATGTCAAAGACGTTGTTCCGATCTATCCTGGGTTATTTTGAAAAGATTATCGAGATAATCTAAGGAATTATTCTTTATGATGAATAGTTTCCACTGGATGACATTTATGTTTAGTTAGACTCAAAAAAATGAAAAATAAATAAAAAATGGGGCCTGTAGATTAGGAGATAAGAAGATAAACGACAGGGTCTTATGTCCCAAGATTTTATGCAAATTATTTAAATAAATGCATTATAGAAATCGGAAAATTCGAGAAAGAAATGGCATTTTGAGGGGAAAAGACCTTCTTTAAGAACATTTCATATATCAATTGAATGTTTTAAGATTTTATACAGATATTTTTTACGAGTTACCACCTGTCCGAGATCGGAAAAAAAAAAGTTACTTATTACTGCACTGCTTAGAATTATTGCATAGTATTATTTTTATCCTGCATGACGAGTATTGGCAAAATTTGATTTATTCGAATTCCATTCAAATAAATCAATAGAATGTTTACGTGATGGCGTCATGTTACTACCAATACCAAAATGCATAGCGAATTTTCTTTCTTAGTCTATTTTCTATTTTCTGCTGAGAATAGTAAGACAATTGGTGCTAATTAACTCAAACAAAAGGTGTGCAAGGGATCATGGTAGTTGTAGCACTAAATGACGCCATAATCTAATTGTCCTATTCCTTTCAAATATGAAAATTATTTCAGTTTCAAATACTCATTTTTTATTTAATTTTGGGAACTTATAAATTCAAAATGTTAAATATCGGATAGCACTGAATAGAAAAGGCAATCTTTTTTTAATTCGTTTTACTTGGCTTTTGGCGCAGGTGCTCTTGGAGCACGGTTTTGATCATTTCCTTGACAAATGAATCTGCCAGGCTGTCACAGGTTTAGCTGACGGTATTGTCATAACTGATCAATGTAAACCTATTTCGAAAAAGGCGATAGTCGATAGGAGATGGGTCATTCTGTAATCCAAGAATAGCTGGAATGGCTTGTGTTCCTTATTATTATTATTCGGGTCAAACGTCGAACTGCAATGAGCAGAACCTACTTATAAACAATGGATAACAAGGTGGTCTTCTTTTATGTCATTAGTTTCGGCTCATGTTCGTAGTCGTAGTGCACGAAATCATTTCAAAGGCCTTGATAATTATTCGTGTTACATTATATATAAGCCCGCAATTCTTTCCGTCTTAAGGTCGGTTTAGACGGTACGATTTTCGCCTACAACTATCGTATACAACGTGCTCGCGTCTGTCGTAGGCGAGTTGTAGGCTTGATTTACACGCTACGACTCGAGTTGTAGGATGGCGCGAGCGTGTTGTATACGATAGTTGTAGGCAAAAATCGTACCGTCTAAACCGGCCTTTAAAATAATCTCTTTTTGCACCGACAACCTTTTTTGAAACAGATTATTTTCTACTTGCCAGTTTAAAATAAATTACTGTACCTGCAAAACGTAGTTCATCTGTTGTCTAGACATTCCTTGAATGGTCGGTACCCCCTCTAAAGCAAGCAACATCTGTTCATAGTTGATGATCCCTCGTTCATCTTCATCCTCTAGCGCAAATGCGCGCCCATACACCTCGATCTTGGCTCTATCAACCAGACGATATTGGGCTAGGTAATCGATCGTAGAGTCTGAGAATTCATAAGAAGCCAGTTGTTACATTCAATTGTTACAATTTTCTTGTAAAGGCAGCACTTTAGATGCTTGTTACTCACCTCGACGGACTCTGATGTCAGCTTCTGCAATCACGTTCTGCAGTGCATCTCTGACAAGATTAAGCATGGTTACTGTTAGTAAGAAGCACTGACAGGCATAAATTCGTGTACACAGTGGTGGTCAGGTCTGAATATTCATTTATCATTATTGTGCCCTCCTCAATGTGATCCTGAAAATATGTTTTTTCAAGGTGCCACAGCTTTGTTTTCTGTTTATCATAGTACAGTGATATGTATGCAAAACACTACTGACTGTGCTTTACGTGGACATGCACAGTTACCAGATTTAAGATATAAGAAGTTTACCACAAACTATGAATACTGGACCTTCTTAGTTTGAATTGGGCATAATGTTTTGCACACTTGGCATACCATGTGTCATTCCCTTGAGTATTATTTCTTTGTATGGATGGCAAATGAAACAAAGAATCCTATTCTCATAGGAATGACAAGTGGTCTGAAATGGGCAATGGCAAACGCCCAAGCTAAAGAAGTCTTTACTTTTAAATGCCTAGCTAAGGCCATTCCTCGCATATGCACAAGAATGCATGTAAGCCGCATGTATGCAATCTGAGTTGTTCAGTTATGTCTTGCATGTGGTAAGGACTCAAAGTCTTCACTCTCATAACAGGATGCCTAAACTATCACATCTATTACGAACTGTCAGGTTACATTAGCTTACTTGAGCATTGCTTGAAGTCTCTTGTTTAGCTCAACTCGTTCTTTGTAGGCAGCATTTACACGTTGAACTCCACGCACTAAATTGAATACGAATGTCATAAATTATACACGATTTAACAAATAGACATCAGATTTTTATGTTTCTGTCCTCTTATTGACGATAAATTGCGTCATCACATTGTAAAAGTAGTGTAGGTTCACGAGGCGTAGCCGAGTGGATCCGCATACTACTTTGACAATGAAATGCCGAAATTTATCGTCAATAAGAGAACAGACACATAAAAATCTGATGTCTCTTTGTTTTTTACAATAACAAAAACGATTAAAACCTCTCATTTTTTAGCGATCAAAACAACTAACGGAAAGAGCGCGCGCTCGTTGACGTCAGCTTTATCTGTCTGTCCTCTTATTGATGATAAAAAATAACCATTCAGCGCGCGAGAAATTTGTAAGTTATTGTAAAAAAGCTTCTTTAATTATCTTATGTATGGTCCACGTTTTCTAGTTTTTTATGCTCACAGGGGTGTATTGATGGGTCCTAGGGAATCTGTGATCCCCCTCCTTTTGGTAGGTTTATGCCAGTGTGTGCCCAGTAATCGGGATTGATCTCAGATAATCTCTAATAAAAACAAGCAAAAAACAGCAACGAGCATTATTCCAATGATCCTTACCAAGGTACCCATACACCTTTACGTACTCTAACCGCGATTCATTTGATTGACGGTAGCCTATTGCCAAATACCCTGCCCTGTGGCAACTGTTGTCTCCACCTATGTGTATCAACTTAGCAAGATATCCACTTACACTTTGGTTTTGGTATTTGGGGTTTCGGCTTCTCCTCTTCTTTTGGTTTCTCGGCCTCTTCCTTCTTCGCCTCGAGTTGTTCAGCCATTTTAGTCTCAATTGGTGGTATCGTTTCTTTTTGGTCTTCCTGTGGAGACAATTTCTTCGGGGCCTGGGTCTCATCGTTCTCGTCATCCTTATCTTCCTTCTTGTCATCTGTCTCTTCTTCTTTTTCATCTCTCTCCTCTTGATCGTCTCCAATAGTCTGGTCCATTGTTGAGCATTGTGAGAGAGAACTGCTATTCCTATATATAACCTTTTGTGATACGACCATTTTTGATGGTTTGAATTTTTTCTTAGACTTGGTGTATTTTGATGGCTGTGGCTTGGCGCCCTGAGAATCCTCATCTTGACTATCTTGGATGTCATGGTTATTCTCTTCGTCGCCTGTTTCAACGTCTTCCTGGATATTGAAAATACTCAATAGTTCAAAACAAATTTTTTCTTTTTTTTTTGTCTCATTTCGTTTCGTTTTGCTTTGTTTCCTTCCAATTCGTTTTGTTGGATAGCAATATGTGATGTAATATCTTATAGAAGTCTTGATCAACAAACTGACACATTTTTTTCCGTCATCAAGTTCCGTGTTGTTTTGTTTCGTTTCTATTCGTTGTATTGCCTTTCGCTTCGTTGCGTTCATTGCGTTGCGTTGCGTTGCGTTGCGTTGCGTTGCGTTGCGTTGCGTTGCGTTGCG